CCGCCCTCCTTGTTGGGTTTTTACCCTCTGAGCCCCTGCAGAGACCCAGCGGGATCGTCCTTATGCCTCGTGCTGGCAGCTCCCGTTACAGGGTTCCATATTCCCCAAACTGTGGGCACTGGCAGCGGGCAGCCCCCAAAATTGGATTTTTCTGAAGCTGTGCAGAGCGTTTAAGATTTGTCCCCGCTACGCAAAGCGCAGTCACCCCATTCTCCCCGTTACAGCGTTTGCTTCGAACTTCAGCAGCCTGTCCTCGCGGCGTTCGCTCTTGCTCACAGAGCCTGTGCTGGAGGAGAAGCGGCGCCGAAGGCAGGTTGTGCTTTTTGGCCAAGGATTCGGTGTGTGTCACTCGTGGCACGCGAGTCGCTTCCCAAGAGCAGACGCAGGGTGGTCTGGCCAACAGCAAATACACCTCAGCCTGGTGAATGCCTCTTCCCTGCCCACGGACACCCACTGCTCCCCACGCTCCCGCACCGGCCCAACGTGGGAGCCCGCTGCCAGGCACCTCTCCTGGCTTCAGCTGGAGCAAACCGAGAGAATATCTTAAAAATGGACTGTTTCGGATGGGGTTGCAGAGCAACTTGCTTTTTTGCAGAGAAACAACTTCTTTTCGGAAGGTGTTTATGGACTAGCCAGGCGGTGCGTTGGCTATGCATCTGGGGGGAAGGAGGCCACATTATCCATGAAAAAATGAAAAGTGGTAACTTTTATAGGCAATTCTGCATTTATTCCTCTTCCACAGAGAAATTTTGAGGAGGAGGGGATTACATGTGTGCGTTAGTCGCAGCGTGGCACTGCTTTTTGCTCCATCACACCAACCTGCTCTGTTTGCCATCTGTAACGGGGAGGGTGCCCACAGCCTTCAGAGCTGCGAGAGGCACAATCAGGGCTGATAGATGCCCAAAATGTTTAGCAAAGCTGCTGTAATGACCACACCTGATTTGGTGGAGAGCAACGATCAAAAGAGCATAGAGGCTCCCGTAAATCTACCCTCCCCGAGTGATAAATGATGCTGGGAAGGTCAAAGAGGGAGGAATAGCTGTCCTGCTATCCTGCACTGGTGACACAGATTTTCTGGGAAAACCTCCACTTATAAGCCCTAACAAAATGGTATCATAGCTGTATGTGTAAGTAGCTTCTGGTAGCTCTGTAAGGAAACTAAAATTGCCATTGTAACGTTGTCTCTGTTATCACCTTTGCTGGTGGAGTAACGCTAAAAAATCCCCATGTCCAACTGACAAATGCCAGTCACAGGTTCTCCACCAAGGGAGGGTGAATTTGGGCTCCTGGCACCTCTGTGCCCTCTGCTCGGCTCAGGGAGCATCGTCCAGGAGCAGGGCTGGGGCTTCTGCTTAGGCATGGACAGTTTGTAGCGTACCTCACTACTTGTCCCTGGAAAGAAAATGTAGCAGGCGGCAGAGGTAAGAAGTGGAAAAGAGGGATTAAAAATCAGCAGACTCACTATTTTTTCCCTTCTTATTTCAAGTCTTCTGTGTAAAGTTTGAAGAAGTCCTCTGCTGAGCTGTAAGAGCACACGCAGCGAGCACGCACACGGGGAGAGGGGAGGCTTCGATCCCTCGGTGAAATCTCTTCTCCAAATTGTGCCCGAGATCACAGAGAAGGGGCGCTGCTCAAAGGAAGAAATGCTCCGCTTGAAGTCCCCCAGAAGTCCAACTGCAAACCTGCCACTGGAGAAAGCACTCTGGCCAGCAGCGACCACAGCCAAGCCAAGAGCTCGTCATCCCGTCTCACTTCCCTCCATGTCTGCTTGAGGGAGGGTGGCCAGTCCGTGCAATGTTTTCTCCTGTCAAGCTTCAAATGAATCTTTAAATTTCTGAGCAGTGATGCAGGCAGCTACTTAGTTTGTCAGGGTGACTCCTGCAGGATGGTGTTAAGATATAGGGATGATGTTCCGATTTGGTTCCTACGCTCTCCTACAGAAGCAGGTTCCTACAAAAGAGGAACCGGCGAGGCAGGGGTTGCTTTTACAACAGCAGTGGTTCTCTGGAACTAAATGAGATACCGACCTGTTCACAAAAGCTAAAGACTAAAGAGGATTAAATCCTGCCTTATCTACAGCTTGTAATTCCCAGTATCAGTCTATGGCACTTTTCCTTGGGTTTCAGTACCTGGTTTATAACTATACGAAGACCCTGCAACAACGGAGAAGGTCCGAGCCAGAGCCGCCAGCCTCAAACTCCACCAGACTCTCAGGATTGCCATAGGGAAAATCAGCCCTGAAACGTAGCCCTTGTCTCTTGAGCCCCGATGCACAGATTTGGCACCATTGTACCACTTATTTATTAAAATTGAAAAGCCTCCACAGAAAATCTACTGTTTTATTACGGTTTGCCGTGATGCAGGTGGTGTCTGAGTGGTTGGGTGAGACAGAGATGGGAGCAAGGGAGACAACATGGAGTGGTGTGCAGGATCTGATGGGGAGAAAATGTAGCTCCTTAAAGCCTTCTTCCTCAAAATGAGTTCAGAAAACTGTCCTTCAAGAAGGGACACAGCCTATACTCATGTCTCTGGGACAGGTAAAAGTAAGCACAGAAGTGGAGCTAAGGGCGAGCCAACCCTGGAGTGGGAGAAGGGGATGTGGAGTACTGCATCCAGCTGTGGAGTCCTCAGCACAAGAAGGACATGGACCTGTTGGAGTGGGGCCAGAGGAAACCATAAAGACGCTCTGAGGGCTGGACCCCCTCTGCTGTGAGGACAGGCTGAGAGAGTTGGGGTCATTCAGCCTGGAGAAGAGAAGGCTCCGGGGAGAACTTATAGTGGCCTTCCAGTACCTGAAGGGGGCCTACAGGAGAGCTGGGGAGGGACTTTTTACTAGGGCATGTAGTGATATGACGAGGGGGAATGGCTTCACACTAAAGGAGGGGAGATTTAGATGAGATATCAGGAAGATATTGTTGACTGTGAGGGCGGTGAGCCCCTGGGGCAGGTTGCCCCGAGAAGCTGTGGCTGCCCCATCCCTGGAGGTGTTCAAGGCCAGGTTGGATGGGGCTTGGAGCAGCCTGGGCTGGTGGGAGGTGTCCCTGCCCCGGGCAGGGGGCAGAACTCGATGATCTTCAAGGTCCCTTCCAACCTCAACCATTCTATGATGTCGGATGCTTCCTCCTGCAGATGACTTGGCTGCATCTTTAGCAGAATCAGTGAGACCAAGGGTGGCCACCGTTGGTGTGGCTCAAACAGTGGGTGGTTTGGAGTGTGGCTGAGGAGATTTCCTTGTAGCTCCTATGAATGCAGTGGTTCCAGCTTCCCCAGGACTTTTACAGCAGACAAAATCTAGCACCCTTCAGGGACGTACACATGCGCAGTGAGCTGCAGCCCGGCTTTCTGCTTGCCCCAGCCCAGCTTCTACTCGTGCCCATTGGTTTCCTGATGGTTAAAGGCTCTGCAAAACGCTTGCAGTGTGGGGGTACACCAGCGTCCCAGTGAGCCCGGGGCAGACACGGCGCCAGCCACAGCCTGTGCTGGCTCTGCGCAGGCTCACAAGCAGGAGGAGATGCCTTCGTTACTGAGACAGCATGCCCGGCCCTCGCAGGGTCATGGAATTGTCATCCTTGCTTCATCCTTGGTGACTAACTCAGCACCTGAAGACGCTCCCGCTTTCCATAGAGTGCTGCAGACTGTGGATTTTGTGCTGGAGGGGAAGGGTGAGCTCTGTTTTCCGTGGTGTTACACCTACTGGTGATTCACCTTGTAACCGGAGGGAGCCATTAAGTGATTAGGAGAAGATTAGCAGCAGTAGATCTTTGGCACAGGGGAGCAGATCCAGCTAGGGAACTCCCCAAACGTTCTAGCCATTAGGTGAGTGCATGGCCAAAACATTAAAATACAAGATTTACAGTCCTCCTCACTCAGCAGGGAGGCGGATTAGACCGATTATGTTTTCCTGGTATAAGGTTCCTTCACTGCCAAAGTCAGAGTTTGAAAGTTGTGGAGCCGCAGCAGGGAGGGCAGGAGTTGGGTACGGAGTGTGTTCCCTCCTCTTACCGGGAGTCTGAGCAAGTCCCCCCTGCCGCTCCTCCCGACAGCCAGCCGCAGAGAGGGGTAAATCCTTTCTCAGCTTTGCAAAGCTCCTGAAGTACTTTTCAGCCAGTGATCTCATTACACTGGAAGGTATCCAGGGGCTGTTACGGGAACTTTCATCACTGTTATGAAGTCGTTCTGAAACCCCTTAACATTTTTTCTTTGCAACGAGTGAGTACATCCGTGTGGGTGCGTTCACTGACACACTGTCCTTTCAGGACTCGTTTTGAGGTGTGCAAGGATTTCTGGTGTTCAACCAAAACTGCCAGATCCTGCGTCGTCTGAACATCATGCAAGGAGAAACGACATGTCCCCTGGGTCCCTGTATTTCTTCCCTCACATCAGGTAGGCAGCCAAGCGAGCAATTTGCTTCCTGTTTTCAATTTAAGATGCATTAGAAAAGTAGTTTTGGCATGGCCAGCATGGCTCTGAGACAGAGTGGGGGAGCTGCCAGGGAGCAGGAGCTCTGCTCAGAGAGAGTGAGCAACCACCTTTGGTAGAACAAGGCTGCGTTGGTGGCTTCTCGGATCGAAACTGTTCCTCTTCTCAGGAAAAGCGAGTATGACCATGTTCCCCCCCCCAGCGCTGTAGAGGATTAGCCTAGAAAAGAATCAGCTCCAAGCTGGAGCTGAAAAGCAGCTGCTGAGTACAGCCAAGCAGAAAACCACTTAAACCAGGTAGGAACGGGGACTGTGATGCTCCATGTTCCTGCCCCTTCCACTGGCACCACCACAGCAAAGCAGGCGACGCACAGGTGGGTACATCCAGTGGGGTACGGACCTGCCTCCTGGGTCCTCCCAACACGACATGAGCTGTCCTGTGGAACCTCTTCCTTCCCCGGTCAGCCCTGAACACGTTTGACTAGAAAGCAAGGACAGAGTAGGCTGGCTGGGACGTACAGCCAAAGCAAAATTAACTACTCTTTGAGTGTGCTTTATTTAAGCTTTTCGGGGAAAAAAGCTGTGACGCTGTGTCTGTAGAGAACTCAGCAGCTTAAACCCCTTTGCACTAAATTCTTAGCTGTATATTTAACAGTGCTTGTGCTAGTAGTGACAATTCGCTGGCTGGGAATCAAAAGGTAAATCCGATACACATCTAGTGAAGGAAAAATGCACTTTTGAGTAGTACATCCATTATTCTAAGAGCTGTTTGCTTTATTCCATTTGGGAGCAAGCTCAAATGTGTCTGCGCTTTAGCTGTCAATTAACCTCCTCTCCTGCACTAGGAATTAAAACGGCTTGTCTTCAGGCTCTGTCAGAGGAGCCGCAGAAAGTTTTGACGGGGCAATTTATGATGCTACCAGCTCTTGCTGCTGGAAGTCGTTACCCCTGTGGCCAAGGCAGCAAAACGGAGGCCGTGACCAGCCCGTGACCAGCCCCTGCGCCAGGACAAGAGCCGTTCTTCAGACTGCAGCCGGCTCACGCTGCCAGCGGAGATCACTTTGGCACCGACACCGCTGTGCTGGGGGCAGTTCAATACTTGGGGGGGGCAAAACTTCAACAGAACTGGGAGTGTGAAGTGGAGGCACCAGTAACTTGTACCTCTACCATGCTTCGTTTGACTGCTATAATCAGAATGTACTTAATTAGATTACGATAGCTCTGCGTGGAGACACATTTCTCACAGCTGATATGGAGGTGGTCAAATTCAATTTATGTTTGCTTTCACTCTGCGTTTCACGCTCCATTGCTCATCCGCTCTGGCAGGGTGGTTTCCAGAGCTGAACAGACAGGAAAACGATGCTGTAGCTGTTTGCTATGCTCAAACGATAGTAAAATGACATTACCTAACCTGGACAGCAAGAACAGAAAAGGGAACTCAAATGCAGAGCATCCCAGAATTTGGTAATTTTTTTTAAAGAAGTATCCAAAATAAATAGCTGGCACCATTAAGAAATGCGTAATTTTTCTATGTTTAGTGAAAATACCTTCCTTACCCACAGCACCTAAACAGCACCCTGGAGTCACACCGGCTCAACCTCCCTCAACTACAACTTCATTAAATGCCTTATTTTGTGCAAAAATGTTTCCTTTTTGGTCTCCACCACTGGTGACCAGGCTTGAAGTGCAAGCACTAACAACAGGATTCAATTTTTGTTTCCCCTGCTGTTAGGGCTCAGTACCACCGATGTGAGCAGTTTTGAGGAGCGCCCTGGACAGACCTTACTGCTCTGGACTGTCACAGTCCTCTCCCCTACCTTGGTCATACAACAGGTGAGAGTTCTTGGGTTAAAGTAGATTTTAAAGCTTTATTGGTCTAAATAAAAAAAGTACAAACCATTTTTACAATAGAACCTGGTTAGTTTTCCGCGCTGTAGCAAACCCAAGGGAAGAGGCTGTCTGCATGCAGCGTTCAGGACGCAGAGGGAGCTGCGGACCTTGCGCACCCATCCTGCCCCCTCCAGAACGCAGGCTCCTGCTCGCGACACAGCTAACTTGCGGCAGGGGCTGCGGTCTTCTGACACAGCCTGGCCAGCAGTCCAGCCATTTGTAAAAGTGAGTTCACACCTTCTGCTATCTTCATATGAGTGTACCCGATTTCCTGGTGATAGAGACATTGTAAAATCTCCTGGTTTCTCCCCCAGTCTATGCACAGTATGACTAAATAGAACATAGCCCTTACTGCTAACAGACCAACTTCAGAGTCACTTGAATTTAAGAAAAACATATCTTCTCATGTAGATCCACTAGAATGTATTTTTTTCTTCTTCTTTTTTTTTTTTTTAAACCAAAGCCTCTATTTCCCCACTCCCTTTGTGTAAGGAGCAAGGTGCATATATTTGAGGACAGGTTTTAAACCTGAAGAGGGATTCCGCTACACCAGTTTACCATTTATCAACTGGCTGTTAATATAATTTAACATTTTACTATCTGTTGGACTAGAATCAAGTATGCTCTTGAAGAAAGTTCTCAAGGAGTTACTTGAAGCTTTGATGTAAATAATAAATTCAGCCAGCATTACATTTGTTATTAATCCTGGTTGATCACTAATGTGACTTTTGGCATTCCTTTTGGTTAAACTTCAAGTGACCATTCTTACTGACAAACTGATGATGCAGAGTGGGAAAGAAAGCAGTAAGAAGTTAAGAAATACTTCTTTGCATGAATATACAGCAAATCTCAAAGAGAAAATGCTGAGGCTGTCCCTGTTTTAGGAATCGCATCCTTTTCTTAAAAAGGCCCCAAAGACCCCACCAGGAGGTAGGTTAGTACTAACCTTGATAAATTCCAGTTTCAGATATTCTGGCATTTGAAAGGTTTTACACACACGGAAGATGTTGCCAATCACATCTTCTGGAGAGTACCCAAGTCGCCACAGGTGGGCAAGAATCTGTGCAGGCAAGAATAATCCTACATTCATCTGCAAAACTTACCAGGTAAGTCAAGCATATTCACTTTTGGAACAGCTGTATATAACTACTGGAACTACACGTACTATTTAACAAATTACTTAACCTCAATTGTTTAGTAAGTAATTTCAATACAACTTGCTTTGTTGCTTGTTGGCTTATTCATCAGAACAGACCCCTGCATAAAAAGGACTTAATTCATCCTTATCTACATGGTATTGCCCTTATCTTAGAAAAACCCCCACACTGTGAATTCTTCAAAACAGACCAGAATTCTGTCGAGAAAAAGTGTTTGTCTACACAGACACGACACATGAAAACCAACCTTGTATGCTTCATCAATATTTGCATTTATGCAGTGTTGTATCATTTCTTTCACAAGCAGAGGATGAGGCTCGTCACATACCTGTATCAAAGGGAAATATTACACTTCAAAATATAAGAAGACTCTGCATTAAACCCTTGGTGTTTCCACCAAGCTTCTATACAGTTGAAGTACTGAATCAGACACATTCTGTAACACAGATTAAATTTTAAGTAATGTGACTTTTCTGGTAACACAGCTCTCCTGCCGTGGCAGACTGAATAGCACGAAATGAGAACACCCAAGTAACAGATTCACAAGTTATCACTGTGAAACTTCCCAGCAGTTATCCGATTCGTGTGCTTTGAGAGAGCTGGAAAGCCACAAAGTCTCAGATGTGCCATTAGGGACTGCAAGCGCTCTCTCCCTTGTCCAAAGGCACGTGCGCTTTTTCACCCCCTAATGCTGTAATTGCTACTTGCATAGTGCTGTCTGCAAACCGGCAAAGCTCTTTCAAAGGCTCGGATACCTGACCGAAGGTCTCGCACAGCTGTAGTGCTCAACTTCTAGCATAACTATGTCACACTATTACTAACCTTGAAGACATTTTCACTGTTTATAAAGCCAAATCCAGAATACGTGGACTGTAAGTTGTTTAATGCCTGTGAAAGAAAAAATAAGACTTCATTTATTTTCTGAAGTGCTCTACTTCTCACTCCCCTCCTCAGGGTGAAATACACTTTTCAGAAATTGATGCCAAATAAGCAGTTTTCAATTAAGCACCAGAGCAAACCACAAATGTATGCAGACTTTGTTTCCTCCCACAAACTTGGTATCCACTTCCCACCAATTCACTTCTAAGGAGCAGATCCACCTTAAAACCTCACAAACCCAAATAGTTGAGTTTCACTTGTGCCACAAGTCAGTCACATCCCCTTTGCTTTACCCCTCCAAAGATAAATCCTCAAGAGCAACAATTGAAGGGGTTTTTGCTTTAAACAGAAGCCCTTGTTTTATAGCCTTTCTTCTTTTACCTGTCTCATATCTCCTTGGGCTGTGAAGATAATGGCTTCTAGTCCATCATCTGTATATGGTACATCCTCTTTCTCAACAATTTTAAGTAGCCTTGCAAGGATTTGTGAATCTGTCAGCTTGGTGTAACGTAGCACTGCGCACCGGGATTGAATTGGTTCTGAGGACAGAGATGCGTAATTAGCATTTCCCTCTTTTCTCATAAAAATACCATTTGTTTTCATCTTGGAAGAAGCTACCTCAGTTCCCAACTCGTAATTTTTCCTCTTTTAAAGAAAAAGAACATGTTAGCTCTAAACAGAATACAGCATCTCCTTAAGCATACACAATTGTTACAGGCCTTCACTTGAGCCCAAACGTGCTACTTGAGTTTTCCCAGATATGTGCAAATAAAGAAGCTCAGCTTCTTCTGTTCTCCTGGTTTTCTGAATGTATATTTTTATCATTGTTAAACAAGAAAAGTCTAAAGGTCTACAATGAGTTAGCCTATAGGCAAACTTCTATGTTTCAGAAAGCAAAAGGGGTTCAATACTGGTTATACAATACATCAAACATCTTAAAGTCTGGCACAGTTGGATGGAGATTAAGCCCAAAGTATGAGAAATCTGCTTCTTCAGTCATGCATAGCACTATCCATCAAAAACAGCTGTTCAGAGGGTTCACCAACTACACAAATATACTCTTCTTTTATTAGCTGGATGTAAAGGTGGTTTGATTTTTCAGAAGTACCATGGTTTCTTGCAATAAGCATGTCTGAGGTATTTCTGAAAACTGCCTTGGAGGTTAGCCAACAGTACGGAGAACATATGACAAAAACACCCAGGGACTACCAGCACTTTACCTATGATTTTGTCAGAGGCATTGCACGCAAGTGCGAAGCGCGTTGTTTTGGAATAAATTTCCATTGTTCTTCTCAAAGCTTGCTGTGCTCCATCTGTCATGCTGAGGGAGAAAAGGAGTTAGGACAGATTTTGTCCTTCGCTGACTTACAGGTGCAGCCTAATACCTATTTTTAGACAAGCTTCAGAGTTTACTGGTATTAGACAGTGCTTTGTAAATTACTTAATATTCTGGTTTGGTAAACTAAGCAGCTTTTTCTAGTCATGTGAATAAAACACCCTGCAGTGCAGGTAGTCACTGAGACCCCCATAAAACTAAAACACAAAATTAAACCATTAATACTGTGAAGAATACCACTACTTATACACAGATGGAGTAGAATGTCCGGTTTTCATCTAGTGAAATTGTCTACATAAGCCGGACTCTTTTCAAAGAGAAAGAACCAGTAAACTGGAAGATGCTATTGCACATCCAGCTAGATCCCAGAGCCTTTCACCCCAATATTTAGCATCTTCTTTGAAGCAATGATCTCTGATATGAGTAATCTTGTAAGAACAGTGTTCAATGTGTATTTATTTCCTATCAAATTATTTTTGATAGCCTGATAGAAACATCTAACACCATCCAAGACAGTAGCTCCGCCAACAGGACAGATACAACGTGTTTCACATAGTAGCTGAGGTCAAGAAAAAAAAATGACATACCTGTCTGCTTCATCAAGGATGATTATTTTATGCCGACCTTTTGGAAGTGTGACCTTTTGCTGAGCAAACATTTTGATTTTGTTTCTCACAACATCAATGCCTCTGGAACAATAATTCAAGTGATTCATGATCAGTTGGGTGAAATTACGTAATAGATCTTATTCATCAGCCACGGTGGCTGAAGCCCTGCTGAGCTCTCTATTCTCCCGCTGTTTGTTCCTGCCCCTTCAGCTGTGCCAGTATCACTGTTGTGAAGCCATGCTATATGCCAGCCTGCCTAACTGATTCACTTTTAAACACCAATACTCCTCGGTTTTTGGAGGTTTTGAAAAAAAAAATTTTACAGTATCGTGTGTATATATCAGTAACCTCACTTACAGTACTGCCATAAAAGGACAAAAACGTTGCCATAAAAGTTTGGCAAAAGGTAGGGATAATAAATGAGCAAAGGCAGAAGTGTTTAAGACTGCTTTGCTATTTTGCCAGTGCTTCACACAGCCGCAGCCACAAACCCAGCTATAAGTCAGAAGAGTTTAAGAAAAACAGCTGGATAGACTGCATTTTAGTACAACACAGAGACTTTCCTAGACAGAGTTCCAACAAAAACTTACTTTTACAAATAAAGGATTTTACTCTTTTGTTCTGTTTAGAAAAATGGATGTTGTGATTCTATAGCTCTTCTATAACTGATATTAACAAAGGCAGGTAAAATGTATAGGACTCATCAACAACCCTCTAGGAAACGTCCTCAGAATGCTTCAGGATGGGTCTGCTACAGAACTTGGGAAATATAATCAGCCCTTAGTGCCTGATCCTTGGGGTAGAGTCAGTGTCCTCCACATACCTAACACCGTTATGCTACAGTTTAATCCCCAACTGCCCTTATAGCCCTAATTTCTATCACTTCACTTTTTTTCCTAAGCACTGAAGAATTTCATTACAAACACCTTGCTCACTTTTCATTGTTCAGAGGATCTTCATGAATGCGGGAAGCTTAACTCTTCAAAGTAAATACAAGAAAACTGTACCGTTATGGATTCTGCACTCCATCTGTTTCTACTTTTGTGCATGAAAGTATCTATCAAGTTTATAAAACATCAAGTAATAATACCTACGTTGATAGTTGGACACCAAAGATTGCTTAACTTCCAGTTGGAAAAAATGCTTTAAAATAAGCACTAGAGGCCTTAATGTAGCATTAAGCCTATCACGCCAGCCTGAGTTGAACTAAAATGGATACTTGCTTCTTCATTAAAAGTTTTAAGTTAAAGAAGGCTTATTCATTCTCACCTGTCATTTGAGGCATTCAACTCCAAAACAGCATCCTTTAATGCAGGACCAAGCAGAGCACGAGCCAAGCAGAGGATACTGGTGGTTTTACCTGTTCCTGGGGGACCCTAAAAATGAAAAATGCAGTGATTGCTGGTAAGCTTAATGTCATTTTCTAAACTGTACTCTCTACAGTGTTCCCCAGTTATGAAAAACAGCTGCAACGGAGGATCTGCAGAGAGAACATCAGGCTAGAGGCTGCCTGATGAGGACGCTGCCTCCAACAGGAGAGAAACGCTGCAGGGAGAAGCACAAGACATGCCTCCGTTGGCACCTAAGGGCCAAGTAAGTTTTTACCAGGTTGTTTATGTCTTCTGTATTCTCCCAAGAACGTTGCTCCGTGACCATACAGTCAACATCTCTCTTACCAATACATTCAGGCACAATGCAAATCTATACTGGGAGGCTGTTGTGGCTAGATTTTAGAAGCCAGGACCAACACAGTGAAATACAGTACAACACAGCAATACTTACAGCAATTATAATATTTGGTACGTTCCCCTCTTTTGCAAAGACCTAAGGAAGAACAATAATAAAGTTAAATAAGAAAATAATGGGAACAAATAGTTTCCAATCCTATTCTATTTTAAGTGTGAGCAACAAAGCTAGCCCGTTCTTTTCTTCCCTCTGCTTTCATTTTTTTGGACCTTGCTGCTTTCTTTTTTTTATTGAACCATTAGAACTCAGTCCCTAGAATAATATGGAAAAACTTAAAAGCACTTAATATTACAGGTCTTGAGTACTCTTGCCTTTTCTTTGTTAATGTTTGCTAGTATAAACTTTCTGTTAACAAATGCGGTGTTTACAAACTGATTTGTCAAAGAAAATATTTTTCTTCTAGAAAACATTATATTTGTGTTTCTTTCTGTTGTTATATAAATTATATTTATTCAATGAAACAGTATTATTATAACAGCTACAAATTTTCTAAGTTGTATCAAAACAGGGCCAATTTACACAATATCCCAATTAAAAAAGGCTTATTTCCTTAGAACACCACTCAAATGTGTCCTTAAACATGTAACTTCTTGCATAAATCAGAAAGGTTTTTTCCACATACTCAAGTATGGATGTAAAAATACAAAAGTGCTTTTCCTGGTCTGTGGAACTGTGCAGAAATGTGTTTTTGAGCTAACCCCTAAAAAACCACAGGGACAGGTACACACCTCCAACCTGCTCACCGTATCTTCATTTCCAACTATTTCGCATAGTTTCATGGGTCTGTATTTTTCCACCCTGTAAAAGCATAACCCCACACGCTTCAGCACATCTAATGAAACTTTAATAGTGCTTTACACTGACAGTAAAGGAGGATCACGTTAAGAGAACACAGGACAAAGATGACATAACGTGCCTTTAGTGTAGACACCGCAGGGTCCCCCCTCACTGCTAAGCACACCATTCCACTAATTCCCAAAAGGCTGTTTTATTTCCACTAGTATAAAAAAGGAAAAGGAGTAAGAAAATGCTCAACTCGGAGAGGAGTTTGGCGCCTCAGCCTGCTACCAGGGCGAAGGGGAGATGTCGCCCTGTGCACCGGGAACCTCAAGTTCGGTGCTGTGCGCCCTCTCGTCCCTCTGGATTAACCCCAGGCGGGGCTGACTTTGTCTGGACGCGACAGGGACTTGTTAGTTTCCACCCGAGGCTGCCCGGTGCCCTCTCCCACCTCACAGGCCCCAGCCCTGCCGGGGCAGGTTATCGGGTACAGGCAGAGAGCCCTTATGGCTGCTAGGACCTGCCACCTCCGAGTCAGACCTAGCT